CCCAGCCAGCAAGGCTGGCTGGGGAATTCTGGGAGCTGAAGTCCACAGGTCTTCAAATTGCCAAGGCTGAGAAACACTGGACAAGATGAACTCCAAGGTCCCTTCCAAACATTGCATTGTTTTATTTTAAAGCATTAAAAAAATCCATAATTATTCCCATTCTGGGAAGACACACAGTTCAGTGAAAGAGCAATTACAGCATTTCTAATAAAAAAAACCATTTTCAGGAAGTGCTGATAGGAGACATTCTGTGCCAGATCTACTGCCAGTAGATAACACTAGGTTAGAGGGACAAATTCTTTAATTTAATATGAAAACAATTTCCAATATACAGTAAGAGTCCACTATTCAGATTGAGGAATTGCTTTATTTACAGTTTAATGAACTGGCTTTCTCCCAAGCAATCCACCAAGCTGAACTCAGCCTGCTATTACCCATTAAGTCTTCTGACCCTCCAGCTGGCACAAGATTGTAAGAACTAAAAAGGCACCTAAACGAATACACCAGACTGCTGGTAGCCATTAGCTTATGGGTCCCATGAATTGTGCATGTGAATCTCACTGTGAAATGTGCAGCATTAAGACAACTGCTATCAGCAATCAATTCCTTGGGAAAAGCAGATTAATCTTCGCTGTTTTCACTCCCAGTCTGTTCTCAAAATATGTAGGTCTTAAAAGCTTATCTGTGTTTATTTAAAATCAGTGCTTTATCAATGTAGGTGCATTCATGTCCAGGATTTTAAAAGGCTGCACACATCAGGTAGGTAAATGGTTCCCTTCTTACAGAAATGACAGCTAAATCCATTTCCACTTACAATTCCGAATATAGCAGCTAGAGAGGGATGATTTTGTCAGCAGCTCCCTCCCAAGTTCTTGTAGCTTGTTGTAGCCTTCTGTCCCGCAAGCAGCCAAGGCTCCCTGGTCGCCAGGGAATGAATAAGTTGCCTGCCCGTCAGAAGAGGTGCTGTTGCTACTCCGAACCTCTGACAGCTGGTTCTTCACATCTGACATTTTACTACGTACTTCAGCCATCTGACTCTTTAACCTCTTCAGCATCTTCAGATCTGGTGGAACGCGCCACATGGCCTGGTGCCTCCGCTGGTCTTTCTCCTTTAAAGAGTACGATGCTTGACAGAGAAGAAATAGAAAAATGTTAAAGTTCTCCATATGGGTCTTGGATTAAGACCTTATTTTTAAGTTTTAATTTCCACAGAACTCCGTCACTGCTAGTCCTAAACCTGGATGAGACAGGAGGAAGGTCGGGCATTGGGCTAACAACTTGATGCCATAAAAGATTTTTTACCACCGGTGAAACAGTAGACGCAATTCAATGAGATCTGAAATTGTTGGGGAGCAACAGTTGCCCAATCTGATGTACAGCAGAGGCAAATCTATGTCTAAGTATGTAATTTCCTTTACCAATTCTTTGCTAACCAAAGCTCAATACCAGATCTGAATAATAGTTGAGATTTCTTTCTTCAGTTGTACATCCATTTAAGGATAGAGCATATGTAAAGTTTAATGGATTAAATTAAATAAGGTATATTTAGTACCAAATAAAGCAACATCAAAATACTTTGCAAATGATCAGGTAGGCAAAGGATGATGGAGGACTGCAAGAATGTAAGAGCATGTGGACTGCAGTTCCACTAACTGCTATGTCTTTGGAAGGCTCCTAAGTGAGAAAAACTAATTTATAGCAACAAATACTTCCCTAAAAGAAAATCGAATTTGAATGGCTCACTAGAGATTATAATGTCAGACTGTAATATGCAGCTACCTTGTAATATCCAAATGGTTTATAGCCCCATTACCTAAGATATAATTTTACTGGAATAGCATTTCAGAACTGGACCAAAGATAGATGAATTTTCCACAAAACATAAAGGCCCTCTCTGGAGCATAATCTGCAATATGCATAAAAGCAGCATAACAAGAGTGTTTGCTTTAGCTAATTTTTTGTGCTTCCTGATAGACACAGAACTGTATTAAAGAAATAAAAATGTTAACAGAGAAGGTCAGGCAGCTGAGTCTTCTTTATGTGAAATGACATGCAGTTTACTGTGGAAAGAAATACTGAAGTTTCTGAAAATATCAAAGAGAAGAAAAAAACCTATTCAATTTGCACTGTATAAATAATGATCCTATTCTGGGCTCTTTCTCCTCTCCTCTCCTTTCCTCCCACCCCCACCCTCTTTCTGGCATGGGCAAAGCTAGAAAGAAAGGTCTGACAGAGTTGCGGGAACAGAGATACCATGGCTTCAGCACCCAGCAAGACTTAGGGTCTAGGAGCTGCATGCAGTCTTGCACCAAGAGACTGGAATAAGGGGAGGGGGGAGGAGGGGAG